ATATATATATATATATATATAAATTTAATCTGAATGTTACACTGTCAATACTCATTTAACTTTCAACACCAGTATAGAGGAACTTGCAAAGTCAACTTTAATATTTTTAATGAAAACTTCTACTTTTTATTCAATATTCTTGTAGCTGACATCAAAATCTTTTTAAAATACAATACAATAAAAACTCCCTTCGGTCCCTAATAGTACAAAACGTTCTCAAGACGATCCTGAATATGTTCTGAATGGGACACATGTGGGATATGCTTGGGACATTATACTAAGATGAAAATTTTGAATGTCCTTAGCCCTAATATAAATAAGCACCTAAAAATGTCATAAATACCCTCATAACAAGTCCTAAGCACTTCCTAAAAATGTTCTATGGACTATCAAATGACAGCCTCATTATGTCCTACATACGTACGTCCACAGGAAATAAAAATAAGAAGTTCTAAAAATGTCCGTCTGTAATCAGTGGGATCTATTTTGGATTTTTATAATATTCTAGGTGTCCCGCTAGACGGTGTCGCTTCTCGCATTTAAAATTTAGTCACGATCTTTATATAACCAAGTATATGTAAGCTTAAACATCATAATTATTCATACTAAGTTTTCGTATGTGCTTAATGCAAGATATATGATTATATTCTTATTGTATCAACGAAGTTAACGAATATAATGATATTTTGTAAAATATTTCAGTCTTGCAAATTCAGCACATTTTATCCGAGGGATATCCTGCGATCGTTCTTAAGATATCTGTAGGATATCTCTTGGATGCCTGTATGCGAAGTAATAGAATTGTCTCAAGAATTACTGATGGACTTCTTTAAGACTTCGGATTAAATGTCCTGTGGATGTATGTAGGACATAATGAGGCGCTCATTTCATAGTCCACAACAACGTCCTCAGGATGTCCTTGGACTACAGGACGTCCTGTGGACGTGACGTTTAGCTGGCGAAATGTCTACATGACATTCTTGTGCTGTTAGGGGTTAAGTATTTTTGAAAATATTTGATCGGTCCAATACTTTTACTGAGTCATTTTGTATAATTATTTACACATAACATAATGTCGGAAATAATATTCTTGTAAATAATATTTCTGATATAAAGAAGACATTTGCAATAATAAGATAATATTAAGATAATACAAATTTTTATTAAAATAACAAAGCTAGACAATTACAATAGGCTTACTTATTAAAATTTATGTACCAACTTCGGTAATTTTTGCATAAAATATTATTAGCTAAATATTATTATCTAATTAGTAATTAATGAGTTTTTATTAATTTATTCTTCCATGGTGTTTTTAATTAGTCTAGCAGAGATAAAAATAGAGGATGGAATAATATAGAAAAAAATGATGACATCAATAACGATCACAACGGCAACAATCAAAATAGCGGTGGCAAGGAAATTAGTGATTTTTGGGTAAGTTATATACATAAAAATAAATTATACAAAGAAAATTATATTGTATTATATATATGCATGAAATATTCTAAAAAAGTATAAAAAATATATGAACATCGGTGCAGTTCACTATGAGATACATATCGGTACATTTACTATTGTACTGAAAAGAACGTCACTGCACCAATTTTGTTGTTGTAATTTACAAATATTAATGTTTATAAATATAATAATTTTTAACATTAATAAACTACATTTGAATATTTTTACAACTTTTAATATCTCCTCATACCTTATTTTGAAGAGGAAAATTGTTACGTTTTGTACATCATGTAACTTTTATTTCTTTTTTTAAAGAATTTTTTTTAAGAAGGACAATACAGTTACTACACGAATGTATCAATTATAGCGTATATTCTGTGTTTTGTGCGGGACAAAAACCTTACAAAAATTTTCTCTACGTATCGCATATTTTGTCAAAGCTCGAACGAACAGAAGTATTAAAAATTATTTATTTGGTTTTAATAACGAGAAGAAAAAAATATTTTATATAACAGCAAAAAACTCACACAAAGTCAAAAGTTGTATGTTTTTTACATTTAAAAATGAAAAAAAGGAGTTCGGTAGAACATGTAATACATCGCCACAATTCAAAATAAAATATTTTCATTAGTAAAGCAGTAAAAAATTATTAGACACCAACCGATTTGAATAGATGTGTGCTGTCAGGATGTGCACTAATGGGACCCTCTCAAAATAAAATAATTAATAAACAATTTCGGGGGAGGGGGGATTTAAACCTCCAAAATCACCTTCCTGAATATGGTTTCCATGGTTTCATATTATTATTATTTAATTATTAGCAAGTAAATCACTTTATTATTTTGAATTAATTACTAGCACGAAATCACACATATTTATTATAATTTATTAATTTACTTTACTTTTCTCTTAAAATTATCTTCTCTTAACTGATTCTTCAAACTAAAGAAAAACTTATTTATAATACTAGCCGATTCTGAAGAAAATCTATTTATAACTTTCACCTCCAATTATTCTTCCTTCTTTTCCAAAATCAATTTCTTATGAATGCTTGATAAACACAGACCATAATATATAATTTTTTAGTAATTATTTTGTTTTTCTTTAAGATTTAGGCAGAGCACGACTTTCTGCCCTACCCTTTGGCTACCTATCCTATATTATACAGGGTGTTTGAAAATTATCGGCTAATCGATCACGAGCAGG